AGCAAATAGAGCTAAGCCCCTCCTGGGCAGTTGACAGTAGACCATTGTAAATCCTTACTGCACAAAGGAGCCTCCGGATCCCTCAGTGTGTAACTTGCCCTCAGCGTCTCACAGGACAAGTGCTTGTATGTTCTCACTACCAAACGAACACTTTGCACTAGAGTTTGCAAAATGAAAAGGTTGTTTTTTTCCCCTAATTTCCCACACTCTGTTTCCAGAGAAGGAACAAAATGCACCCCAAAGACCACCCCCCCACCAAATCCAGGGACCAAGCACTTTTGCTAAACACAGTAGATATTCACAGAGGGTGACAGAATCATGTTTCATTTCTAGTTTGGGGCTAGTTTTGAAGTTCAAACTCAACGTCTCAAACTTGCCAGGTTGGGACGATACTGCTGAGCCATGCCTCCAGCCCTGTTTTAGGATAGGGTCTCATTGCTAGGCTTCCACCAACTTTAGGCTTCCTGTAGTTGCCAGTGTCACAGATAAATGCTGCTGTAGCCAGCTTCCCTCATGGAGACAATCTCTAGGACATTTCTGTCTAGCTAGGCTGGAACTATAATCCTCTTTTTCTTGGCCTCTCATGAAGCTTAGGGTACTAACATTCACACTCCACTTACCAGCTCTTCATTAAAAAGGAACTTTTTCTGTCCTGGCCCACCCCGAACCAGAGTCTTTCTACTCTCAGACTCCCAAGTAGCCAGGATTACAGGGTTGAGCCACTGGTGCCTGGCTTCATATCATTCTTTGAGAATGAGGGATGAGCTAGATGAGTTTTCAGAAACTCCTCCTCCAATGTACAGAAGCTTTCAGAGGGTCAGGCTGCCCTCCCTGGGATATTTTCATGGTTCACCACGATAGGATTTTGCAGTCCTAAGAAGCTAGCTATCTAATTCCATCTTTTTTCTTTTTCCTTTTTCCCAAAGGCCGACAGTTAGAAATATTTTCCCAGCCTGCAGGAGTCTGGCTAGGAATAGTCATGCCCTTTGGGTAGGATGCAGTTGGCTTATATACTGTGGGGCCTGGGCCTATTTCCTTCCAACCAACCTCCTAGATGTGAGGTTGTGGGGGCAGGGTTGGCAGCAGGGTAGGAGTAGGATGGAGGTGGGGGTGGGAGAAGGGGTGGGGCGGGGTGGATCTTGCACAGTACCTGTACTTGATTGTTACCCATTTTGAAAAATGCAGCTTTTCAGAACCCACGTACACACTGTGGGATCTGATTGTACTGTAACAGCATTGCTGTTGTCAGACCATTAAAAAAAAATCTTAAAATAACTTGTATAACTCCCTCCCACAATTAGTAGGTCAACACGCTGTGTTTACTTATGGTTTACTTATGTGTTAGGGTTTACAAAGTTAAGGCCATACAGGATAGTGAATTTTGCATTTTGGCCCATTCACCTGACATTAGGTAGTAAACATTTTTTTTCTGTTTTCCAAACCCCATGAATAGAATTCAGTAGCAGCACAGCACAGTATTTCAGTCTGTGGATCCAGCACAGGCTATTACCCACATCTTTCTTGTCGGAAAATTAGGTTAGGTGCTTTTCTTTGTGATTTTGCTCTTAAAAATAATAGATATGAAGATCTTTGTATTTTAGATTTTATCTTATTTCTCAGTAGCGAAGTTGAGCAAATCTGTGGATGTACAATTACTAGGTCAAAGGTTATGAACCTTTTCTGGGGGTTCTGAATTCCAAGCACATTCAGATGTCAGAACAGCCCTATTCAAATAGCAGACAAAGTGCATGTCTGAATAGCTCTTGTGATTTCCACCATTGTTCTTTGGGATGGACAGATATGTCACACCAAAGCAACCACAGCAGTACAGTGGCTGCATGGTGCTGTGGAGGGAAAATACCACATACCAGACCTCATATTGCCTGCAAATTATATGTGCAGACCTTACTCATGTACTCGTGAAAAGCAATACTTTGGAAATTACAGGTGGTCTGAATTCCTCCAAATTCTCTGTGACTTTTCCTGGCCCAAAGCAAAATCCTTCCTTCCTTCCTTCCTTCCTTCCTTCCTTCCTTCCTTCCTTCCTTCCTTCCTTCCTTCCTTCTTTCCTTCCTTCCTTCCTTCCCTCCTTCCTTCCTTCCTTCCTTCTTTCCTTCCTTCCTTCCTTCCCTCTCTCTTTCTTTCTCTCTCTCTTTCTTTCTCCTTTCTTTCTTTCTTTCTTTCTTTCTTTCTTTCTTTCTTTCTTTCTTTCTTTCTTTCTTTCTTTCTTTCTTTCTTTCTTTCTTTCTTTCTCAGTACTGGGGTTTGAACTCAAGGCCTTGTCATGCTTTCTTAGCTAGTGCTCTACTACTTGAGCCATGTCACCTACTATGTACACATACATGCATACATGTGCACAGCCATGCACATGCACTTCCTTCCTTCTGCACAGAAACTCAACAGTAGCATACCAGGCCAGGCACAACCCACCCATGTGGTGCTAGGTGCTATCCAAGTCTGGAGAAGTCACACCAGGCTGTCTCAGTGTCTCTGTCTGCCTCTGTTAATAAGGACTTAGGTTGGTGGGAGGAGGATGGGGACACACTGGGAACTCTGCCAAAGGCACAGAGAAACACAGATCTCTCATCACCAACTCAGCCTGGAAGTTGCTCCTTCCATGTCTGCCCAGGGAGCAGGGGAAGGCCAGGCCTCCTGAGCCGAGGAACCACCAAGCTGCCCCTTTTGAAGAAGTCCTGTGGATTCCCAACAGGTGGTGAATGTGGCCACAGGTGAAAGCTAAAGCTTGCAGTGGCTGAGCACCTTTAAAGCAGTCAGCAAGCCCACAGGGCTTCCTAAGAGCATTTATGGAAGAGGACTGACCACCTGATCTTCTACTAGATGGACAAAAAGAAATGACTAGGCTTGGCTTTTATTTCCTTTTTTCCTCCTCTTCCTTCTCATCTCCCGTCCTTATTTCCTGTGCCACAATGAACCCAAGACCTCATGCATGCTAGGAAATACAGAATTTCTTCTCAGTCATTATCTAGATTTAAATGTACCCCCCACTTTAAATATTTTAATAGTTTAAATTTATTTACATAAGTACATATAATGTATATGACCCAAATCTATTCATGCGATGTAACTCTTAATTGCTCCCTTCTTTTTATGGGTTTTCAATGGAGTCCATCATACAATTATATGTGTATTATACACACACACACACACACACACACACACACACACACACATTTCTATAATATTCACCTCCCTGATTTTCTTCTCACTCAGTGAAATGATAGATTCATTTTTCTGGGCCACTGACAAATGTCATTCTCATTTCTTGGCCTTAACTGAAAGACTTCGGAGGAACTTTAGTCAAGAACTATGGGTATGAGTTCAAATTTCTTACCAGGTTGAATCACTCACAGGATGCTTTGTGTAGGTACTGTGTGAAAAGCACTCACTGGGTGTGTACATATTGTATGAACAGCATCCACTGAGTGCTTTGTGTAGGTTCTGTATGAACAATACCCTCTGGGTGCTTTGTATAGATACTGTGTGAGCAGCACCCACTGGGTGCTTTGTGTAGGTACTGTGTGAACGGAACTCACATGACACTTTGTGGAAACACAAGGTGAACAGCATCCTGGGCACTTTGTTTGGATATACTGATCAGCACCTGTGCAGAGCAGCACCTACTGAGTGCCTGTGCTTCCAGTGTGAACAGTACACAGCGATCTTGTGCAGAGGGCTGGCTGGCCCTGGCTGTGTTGCTGTGTCACATTGAGCAAATGTTACATCTTCTGGTGTTTATGGCACATTCTTAGATTACTGGTCATTAGATTCCCCTGGCTACCTAATGTGCCAGGCTCTGGCTCCACTCCTTGGGGGCCCAGAAGTTCTGCCTCCATGTCCCAGAGGAGGCCCCGGAGGCTGGAGTTACATCACCCCTGACACTGAAACAGATGCAGCCATGCTTAGACCCCAAACCCCCTATGCTGATGGAGAAACATGTGTGTGCTCTCACAGGGCTTCTGAAGACAGAGTCAACCTCTGCAAATTAGGGAAGTGGCCTGGGGTTCATCAGAGCAATAACACTGACTTGTGTGGAGTTCTCTCTCCATCTGGCTGGGTTGTTAGATTTCTCACTCCAGGCTCTCCCCACTCAATCTGGATGGCAAGATAATGAATGAATGAATGAGTGAATGAATGAATGAAATATATTTATAAATGTATCAAATATATGCATATACATGTCTGTGTCTGTATATAAATAAATATGTCTATAAGTCCTTATGTAGTACATGTGACTTATACTATATATATATATATATATATATATATATATGAATAAAACATGAACACTTTTATAGAGCATCCCTTTTCCCCTTGGTTTTTCCCTCTCTTTACCGAGCTGGAGTCCTTTTCATCTCCTATGACCCAATTAAACCACAGCTTTGAACCCAGAGCCCCTCCTAACAAGAATTCCTTGCTGGCTACTAGGGAACATAGACCTCCTCCCCTGGCCACTGTGTTCCCCCTCCCCCAGCTCTCCAGTCCTCTCACATACCTCAGTTTCTATGATCCTGACCTGAAATGGATGAAATCATTGTATTTCCCTCATGTTTCAGAAGAGGACAGGAACCTCTGAGCAATCCAGGGCAAATAGCAAAGAGAGGCTGTTAGGCAAAGCAGGGACACAGCCCTGAGTCTTCCATTCAAGAACCAGACTTCCCATCCCTGCTTAGCCATCTTCCGCCATGATGTCTACTTCAGGCCCAAGGAGTGGCACATGTAGGAGGCTCCTCTTGTGCAGGGGCACTGGTCCCAGTGTCCCAATCTTCCAGCCCAGCCAATCTAGTACAATCACCCACCCAAAAATGGAGGCTGGCCTCCTGGCTTGCAGGAACCATCGCATCCATGCTCCACGGCCTTCTACTAAAGGTTATTTTCAGACCCACGCTTTTAGGATATCCGACGACAGGTCAGATGAACACTGGCCTATCCACATCAATTCAAAAATTTACTTCCCCTTATCCTTTCTTTCCTCTTCACAGGTGCAAAGAAACATTCTCAGGGCTCACCGGCCCCTAGCACCAGCTCAAGTCGTCTGACCTTGCCAGGTGAGTGAACGTCTGGTATCAGTGCTGAGTGCAGGAGTTGATGAACAGATCCTTGCCAGTTCTTTATGTAGTATACCCCATCTTGGTTGTCCATGTTATGAGGTTCTTCTAGCAATGGTCTAGCAGTTCTATAGTTGGCCTATGATGTCTCCCATCCAGTGGGAGAAAGAACAGGATTCAGGTCCTTTTTGCTAGTCATCTGGTCCAGCTCTGGGAGCATTGGCAGACAGAGGGAAGAATGGGAAACCGAGTGCTGGTGGCTTGTGCCCGTCATCCTAGCTACTCAGAAGGCTGAGATCTAAGGATCATGGTTTAAAGCCAGCCTGGGCAGAAAGTCTGTGAGACTCTTATCTCTAATTAACCACCAGAAAACTGGAAGTGGTGGTGTGGCTCAAAGTGATAAAGTATTAGCCTTGAGCACAAAAGTTCAGGGACAGCACCCAGGCCTGGAGTTTAAGCCTCAGGACTGATGAAAAAAAAGAATGCTAGTCATTCTGGTGACAGAAAGAGAAGGGGGTTCAAATTCTGCAACCACATATGCACTTCTTTATCATCCTATGTCTCTGGCCCCTCACTAATGCTATAGGTTCCTCACCTGTCCCACCTGAGGATGAGAAATAATATTGGTAAATTTGGCATAGTACTGACACAGGATTGGCGTAGATACACACCTGGTTTAGATAGGACCCTGGTTCCCTCCAGGGTGTGGGGGGGAATGATTAAGCACTTGTGATAATAGCTTTGGCCCTTAGTAGTTCATTTAGACTCCTTTCTACAATTTAATGGAAAAAATGCAATTGATCTGGGGGGGGTGTAGAAAGGACAATTGTAGAAAGTAAAAAATGTTTATTGTGAAATAATAATAATACTAATAATATACAGAAGAAATAGTAGCAACATGTTTTTCTTCAGTTACTTAACCAAGACAGTCTCTCCTTCTTGCTATCCTAGATTCAAGTTGTGCTTTGTGTGCAGTTTTGTTTCCTTTTGAAATTCATCCTTAAGTCACAGCATTTCCTCCATGGTACAAAATTAGCAAATATTCCTGTGATTGGCTGGCATTTCAAGGACTATGTCACAATTTGCTTGTATGTGACAATATGGCATTTATTTTTGTTTAGTTTTCATTTTCTTTCTATCTGTGTCACCCTTCCACCTCCCATCATTCTCCCCCCTCCCTACCTCACTCCCCCCATCAGAGAATTTGGTTCCATTTTGAGGTATGTACATTGGATATGATGACTACATCACCTCCCATGCCTCTATTTATTTTCACGCCTCCTTTGACCTTCCCTCTTCCCAACAACATACGTTTCAGCTTCCTGATATTCATGTTGTTAACCTCTGACTTTGTTGTACAAAGGCATTACATCCTTGCACGACAATTCTCCCTTGTGTAGACGTATTTTAGACAGTTTGTGTGTACGTGCATATGTTTGTCATTTAGATCTAACTTCCACATATGAGAGAAAACACTTGCCCTTTGTCTCTTTGAACCCAGCTTACTTCCTGTAGCATAATTTAGCTTCCTATCCAGGCCCGGACAGGGCCTGCTCCCAGCCTCACCTCAGAGATGCCTTTGTTGACACCACAGGTACACAATTCTTAGCTATTTGCAGTAAATAGCTGTTTAAAAAATACTGCAGTTGTGCAGTGTATCAGATATGGGCCTTGTCAGGATTTTCATGGGTGTTGTTTTCTTCAACATCATCCATGTGCCCAGATCCAAACAGTTCAACAGCTCAGTCACTAAGAGACGAAAATGTCTATTGTAAATTCTAACCAACATCGCCCAAGAAGTTGATTCTTTGACACACAATTCCTCTGCTCCAAGTGAATGAGAAGTTGGACAAAATAGAAAAATAAACAATTTTTTGGTAGTACTTGGGTTTGAACCCAGGGCTTTGTGCTTGCTAGACAGATACTCTATTATGTAAGCCCCTTTTTGTTGTGGTGGTAGTTATTTTTCAAACAAAGTCTCATTCTTTTCCCCTGGACTGGTCCATCTGTGCTTCCCACTTACCTGGAATGACAGATGTACACAACTTGACACAAATACTTCACTGGTTGAGATGGCCTCTAATGAACATTTTGACCAGGCTGTCCCTGAATTGTGAACCTCTTTATCTCAGCCTCCTGAGTAGCTGGGATTGTAGGTGTGAGCCACTGCACCCAGCTTAAGGAAATAATTTTTGAAAGGCCGTGCTGGAGACAAATGTCTCTGGGAAGCAGAAACAAAGGGCTGTTCTGTACAGATGTGTCTCAAAGTGTGCACAAAGTCCACAGGACAGCTGTGCTCTGTATCCAGAGCAGGAACATCAGGAAGGAGTCACAGAGACCAGAAGTGCCCAGGGCCATGAGACTCAGTCTGAATACAGGATGCGAAGTATGGGGGCAGAGGGCTACAGCCCAAGGGCTCACGGAAAGCTGCCATTCCTGGATGGACAGGAGGATGCTGACTTGATCTGTGCTGTCCTCGGTATGATCATGGGACATCTGCTGTAAACTGTCATCATGGGTCCTGGCTCTGACGTGGAGGAATTAGAACCCTTACATGAAGGACATCACAGCCATCTTTGAAAAGTTCTGAGCCTCTTCAAACGCAATCTCAGCAATCTCCTGGCTCAGCAGTTCTCTTGGTTTATACAACCTGAATGTTGTGAAAACTTGTTCACAAGTGTCTACTACTTGGCATCCACGATTGTCCACACATAGAAACAACCTAAACTTCTGTCACCCGGCCACCAGATAGACAAAATGTCATCTCTGTTCGAAATGAATGGCATCTGATATGCCACCCATGGATCTTGGAAACATTTTGCTTAGCAGAAGCCAAACACACACACAAATCCCACATATCATACAGAAAGAAGAGTGGATCATACAACTCTACTTGTGTTATTCCCTTTAAAATATTTCTGAGCAAATATAGAAACCATTAACATTTACTTGAGCGATATTGAACGCGTAGATGCGCATCATTCTAGTATTTCTATTTTTCCTCTATGATTTAATGTTGTATTAACTTTTAACTGAAAAACCTGTGCTTGTGTGGCAAGATGTTTTTGTTGAGGGATTCGTTCATGCTGGTGATTTAGCATATAGTTTTCAGAAATGTACTATTTTCCCCCTGCTAACCCATGGGCAGAAATGGACTTTGGGATATGAAGATGGGGTGTGAAGGAAAGTCCAGCAAGGACCATGACTCCCTATGGTGGCTACCCGCCATCACTAAATAACTGCTTGTACTCTTTCTGAAGTTACCTCCGGGCTCATCCTGGAACCCCAGCACCAGGAAACTTCAGCTTTCATGTGGGAAAGTTGTAGATCTTTTTCTAGCACCAACATCATCTATTGGGAGTTTGTGAGCCCCTGTGGACCTCCATGGGTGGGCCGTCAGTGATGGAGAGCTGGGGAAACAGTGGCTCCCGGTGGAGGCTTGGCGCACAGCTCCTCACTTCCGAGCAGAGAGTCCCCACCCCCTTACTTTCCGGAAGTGGCCTTAGATGACAAGGTACAGTACTGCCATCGCTAGCTGATGCAGATGTAGCTGGCCCCATGTGCAGCTGCTGGCCTGTGCTGTAGTCCTGGCTGTAGACAAGGCTCTGCTTCTAAAACTCCTCCCTGCTAGAGTGTGTGCATGCCCCCTGTTGGCAGCCTGGCAATAATGTTGTTGTGTGTCCTGTTTTAGGGGACTACGGATAAAGCGGACATCCAGAAGCTTTCTTGGAAGAGACTCGACCATCTTTGAGGTCCGAAGACATTATAGAAAGCTTATGTTTCTTTTACCAAAACAAAAACTACATGTATTGTAAGTTATTGAGAGCTTCAAAAATGGTGATTGTGGATCTCCCTAATATAGTTTTTTTTTTCCATAAGTACTTTTATGTGTATGGTGAATCTACAAACTTCAGGGAAATGCTAGGTTTCTAACATGTATTAAGTCCTTCAAACTCTCCAAGGCAAGTACTATTATGTCCATTTCACAGGTTAGGAAACTGAGGCACAAGCAGATGAGTAGCTTGCTCAAGCCGGCAAGGGGCAGATAGAAAGCCTATGCTCTTTCCTGAATGATTTGCTGTCAGCCTGATGCTAAATAGCCCGCATTTCTAACTACCTTCCACACTTCCATCTGCCTAGGGATTACTTCTCATCCACCAATTCAAGGACTTTGTACTAACTTCATAGTGCAGACCTGAATGGCAGTCTCTGAAGCTGACTTTCACCTTGAGTTCACTTTGAAGGATGTCACTTATATGGACTGAGTCAAAACAGAGTCGTTGTTAGGCCTTGATTGAGTACTTCAAAGCCCTGAAGTACTTTATCTTTACCAGTTTCTTCTAAAAATAGGCCTTATTAGTAATGACCAGAGGCTGAGGGCTGTGGACTGGCCTTATACTTCTAGACTTCATTCTCACACATGGAAAAATATCTATGTCAATGAGAAAAATCAAATGAGAGAGAGTTAGCTTGCACACAATGTTTCTCCACTGACGCAGAATGAACCCTATATGCTGTACATGCCAGGGCAAACACAATTTAAAATCGATCAGCTCCTTTTCAAGGGAGATATTTCTGGAATCTTCTTTTATATCACAGGGTATTTGAAATGTAGCCATTGTTTAGATAAGAATAAACCTGATTTTTCAGCCTAGGCTAATAGTTCCTCTTTTTCACTAGTTTGCCAGGTACTGGGGAGGGCTGGGAAATGGTGCCACACTACTGTTGAGAGTGGAAATGAGCTGAGATGCTGTCATTTGTGTAAGGCAGGTTGGCTCAGCCCTTATACTTGACACTTGAGAAGATAGGGACTTTCTCCTTAAGCAAACAAGGCAGCAAATCTCCCTGCAGACACGAGGGAGAAATATTAGCTTCTATTGACAATTTTACAGCTGGTATATGTTGGAAGTGAGTAATTTATTCTCCAAATGAGAGATTTATGAAGGTTACTGAATGTGATTTAGAGAAGTAGTTTATTCATTCATTTAAATATCTCTTTT